TTGAAATTTACCATACAAAAGAAAATTTTGAATAGTTTTAGTTTATTATATATTTTTCAGCTAATAAATATTATTATTATATTATTACAAATTTAGGTAAAATTAAATATTTTTCAGTTTTTTTTTTCGTCTCCTCCTTCCCCTTCAAAATAGTAACTGGTAATTGAAAAACAGTACGATGGGTACAAAATTCGATCTGCAATGCGATTCAATATTCACTATAATTATTTATCCACTATTTTTATTGAATTTTTAGTAATTTTTGCATTTCTTTTACATATTTATTGAAATTAAGGTGCAAATATGTATTTTCTTAGATAAAAAAAATTGATTTTTTTTGGTCGGTTTTTTTTTTTAAATTGTGCATTAAGGGGTTAATGGTTATTACGGTCGCCGACCGTGTGCCGCTACACTTGCGATAGCAGTTTTATTAAACAACCATTTAGAAATATACATATATGCATATGTACGTAGATCATTAAGACTTTGCCGTTCCCATGTTGTCGTAACATTCGGAGCTAACGAGTAAATGCAGGCGGCAGACGAAACTATCGTATTTCTGGAATAAACGTCGAGGTGTTAACACGTAGAAGACACACGCTTCTCATGATTGCACAGATGACATTGTTTACCTTCAATAGGCGATTGACAAATGGCAAACATACTTTTAAGGATACGACAATGCTGAATTTAATTTAAAAAATCGCGTATTAGTATTTAAACTTAGTGACTCATGTGTCTTAATTTCGATGTTTATATTAAATCTATAAAACTAGTGCGATTTGTGTCGCTTTTAAGCTGATTTTATTTGGAAAAGCTTCCACAGCTTCGTTTACGAGTTATTAACGAGAAAAACAGTAAGGAGAGGCGCCTCGCATGCTGATCTCGCCTCGCATTGGTCACTGTTTTTCGCCAATATCTCGTAAACAAAACCGCAGATTGCATTTTTGCTAAGGAAAAAGTTACTAAAAATGACCTCAGGAATCACCCCATTCCGAGTGTTAACATCATTATGGGAAACCCAGTAGAATAAAATGTAGACGTTGTAATTTCACCGTGAAGGCATCGCCGACAGAATCGCGAATTTAGAATTTAGAATTTAGAATATACTTGCGATATAATACAGCTGCGTAAAGTGAAACATATTCGATCCATAAAATCGATCCGTTTTGATTCTAGCCGGAGGTATGGCGCTTCATGATAAGTATTTCTCTGTGCCATACGGTACAAGTCTCCCCACCGAGCGTAAGATCAACTGTTATCGCGAGACGCGTCGAGTATCGGGAAAGCTTCAGACTGAAGAAGATAACTCGAGTAAACAGTTCGCTAATGATGCATCCGGATTTACCAGAATACCAGGTAACGATGTCACTCGACGTTAGCACCACCTATTTTTATCTTAAATCAATTCTAAGATGGAACAGTTGGAAACTTCCTCCCGTTGACTCGAGTCAACACTGTGGCGATGCAACACACACCGTCTAAATGAGTGTACAAATACTTGTTGTTTTTTTTCGAGACGAGTTAAGTTGCCGATATCCTGGAAGATCAACAGGTGGTTGGTTACAGATTAATAATGAATGCTATACATGTGTGTTCGATAGGCAGCATCAGCCGACGAGAAGGCGTTAGTGGAGGCTGCCGCCAGATGTGGAGTCGTTTTTCAAAACAGCACCAACGATGTGATGGAACTAAGAGTCAAGAACAGCGAGATGATCTTCCAGAAGATGGAGATTTTGGAATTCACTTCCGGTTCGTATTAATTCGTATCGAATCCACGAGTCCGGGATCATAAAAGATTAACAACATTTCATCTGTTTGATGCAGAGCGTAAAAGGATGTCGATAATAGTGAAAGACAACAATGACGATTACTGGCTACACTGTAAGGGAGCGGATTCGGCTGTTTTGCCGATGATAGTGTCAGGAAAGGTCAATGAAACGATCGCTCACGTGGCTGACTTTTCTAGGGTTTGTTTCTTAACTTTTATTCATCGCTAGCAATTCAAGCACTGATCATCTTTTCACACGAGAGTTTCTGTTTTATGCTGCAATTTATAGTATACTGAAAATAATTGGATCTTCTTGAGAAAAGCTAGCCCATTGTTTCTTGTGTCTGTACGTGGTATCCTTCTTAACCGTTTGAGTGCCACGGAGCGATTTTGCGCTTCTCATCTGTCTCTCGAACAGTGCCAGCGCTCTAGGCTGCGAAACCGATAACCGCGACACGCTCGGTTTTTGTCGATGCGCGACTTTACAAATATTCAATCGGTTTGGCTCTATTAGATAAACGGCATCGCGGTCCCGACATTTCAATGAATTGAAATGAATTGCCTTGGTCAAGGTATTCATTTTCCGTAACCATGATATATTTTGAAATGTCTCCAGTATTAGAAATATTATTGTCAGAAACAGAATCGTCGATAACATTAATCCTTCTTCTTTTAAAAATAATAACTTCACTATCATCGCTATCGTAATTCGAATCCTCTATTATATTGCTCGTCTTACGTTTAGAAGGCATTTAATTGCTGAAGGGCATCAAATAAAAATATAAAAAAGTTATACTGTAGAATACAAAAAAAATAGTGAAAATTTTACTGTACATACCTTTTATATATGCAATAAAATATTTAAATTATATTCTTATATTATATGACGTAACCCAGACGCTGATAAATCTGTACTTACGTTCAGAAAGATGGCAGAACATCAAT